GCTTTTGGCTGCCGCTGCCGCCTTGTCTCCCAAGCTTGTCTCCCTTCGTGATTTCGCAATTGGCTGCCGCTGCCGCCTTGTCTGTGAAGCTTGTCTCCCTTCATAATGTCGCTGTCGGCTGCCGCTGCCGCCTTGTTTCCCAAGCTTGTCTCCCTTCATGATTTCGCTCTTGGCTGCCTCTGCCGGCTTGTCTTCCAAGCTTGTCTCCCTTCGACATTTCGCTCTTGGCTGCCGCTGCCCGCTTGTCTCCCAATTGAGCTTGTCTCCCTTCATGATTTCGCTTTTGGCTGCCGCTGCCGCCTTGTCTGTGAAGCTTGTCTCCCTTCATGATTTCGCTTTTGGCTGCCGCTGCCGCCTTGTCTGTTCAGCATGTCTCCCTTCATGATTTCGCTCTTGGCTGCCGCTGCCGCCTTGTCTCCCAAGCTTGTCTCCCTTCATGATTCTTCTTTTGGCTGCCGCTGCCGCCTTGTCTCGCAAGCTTGTCTCCCTTCATGATTTCGCTTTTGGCTGCCGCTGCCGTCTTGTTTCTCAAGCTTGTCTCCCTTCATAACTTCGCTCTTGGCTGCCGCTGCCGCCTGGTCTTCCAAGCTTGTCTCCCTTCATGATTTCCCTCTTGGCTGCCGCTGCCGCCTTGTCTCCCAAGCTTGTCTCCCTTCAAGATTTTTCTTTTGGCTGCCGCTGCCGCCTTGTCTCCCAAGCTTGTCTCCCTTCATGATTTCGCTTTTGGCTGCCGCTGCTGTCTTGTTTCTCAAGCTTGTCTCCCTTCGTAACTTCGCTCTTGGCTGCCGCTGCCGCCTGGTCTCCCAAGCTTGTCTCCCTTGATGATTTCCTGATTTCGCTCTTGGCTGCCGCTGTCGCCTTGTCATTTTCTTGCCTACCTTTGACGCGGATGCTGTTATAAGATGATTTAGGTCTTGTTTACCTGTTCCATCCTTTTCCCGGCTTTGAGTGGGATTTCTCCCAAGCGCTTGTCTCCTGCTCTTGCCATGCTATCCCACTTTTCTTGAAGTGCTATCTGGGGTCTATGCCGGTATAATTCCCCTGGGGCCCCAGCTTGACATGTCCGCGACCAGAGCCTCAATCTCATTCGACTCAATCCAGGGGCCCGAGGCCATGAAGCCCTGGAGCTGTTATTTTCGAGCTTGCGAGGTTTAGCTCCAAATTGATGAAATCCATTCAAATCGGATGGATAAAACTCATTGGCATAGTCATCAACTGGAATTAAATAGTTATTAACTAGTATAGTCACTGACTGGTATAGTCATAAACTTGCTTCCGTCTCCTCCTTCTCTCTCTGGTCTTCCTGCCCTCGCCGCCGCTCCTGAAGAAGACTTGAGCGTTTCTGAAAACCTTGATGAAATCCCACGTCGTATCATTGGGCTTACGCTTGTGCTTACGCTGCCTTACGCGACTCACATGTTTGCTTACGCGGTACACTTGGAGCAAGTAGGGCTTACGCAGACCTTACGGCCGGAGCTTACGCGGAGCTTACGCGCCGGAACTCACAAAAATCACCTGGAGTTTCTCATGTCTGACATGGAGGTTGGACTGTTCAGCTGTGGTGTTTGGACTGTGTGTGTGTGTGTCAACCCCTGGGCCAAAAGTTCACCGCCACCGACTTTTACACTTTCGCCACCTTTTTCCACCAAGACAGAAGCAGGGGGGCATGGCAGCTGTTTCCCTAGCCATGCCAACGAAGCTATGGGATTCAGCCGGAAGGGAATGTGGACGCACATTCCTGTACCTGCAACGTGAACTTTTGGTCAAGCTGTCCACTACCGCTTTTTTGTTTCCATGGTCGTTCATGCTTCCTCCCCCAAACCCACTTTCCTGCAGCTGAGCTCGTCACCGCACTGATTGTACAGATCGATTTCGAGGCCACTTGTGAACAATGTTCAACAATACGGTTTTGCGGACTTATGCACCTTTCCGTTCCCTCACCTTCCTTCCCATCGTGGTAACTGAGTGTAACTGAAAACCAATGTCGAAGTGTGAACCGCTCAGTCTTCCCACGCGGGTACTGGGTGTGACCCTCCGAAAGGAGGCGCTGAAATCACGCTGGAAATCACCGACCTTTCATTTTTATAACTGTCTTCCTGTTTGTTCAATTCTATCGCTGAATTAACGGATTTTCGAGCCGCCGGGCTATAAACGATGGACTACCCATAAGAATTTCTGAATTCCTTCTGTTTTGCATTGCCATGATGTCGGTTTGTGCATTTTGCGTTTTTCAATTTTAATCCGCAGCCATTTGATCAGCTTCCACATGGTCTACACCACTTCGCATTGCACTGCATGCCACGACTTCACCTTACTTCTCCTCACTGCAGATCCACTCAGGTTCCAGAATCTATCAGTATTTCCAACTTTTCACCTCAGCTGCTGTGCCGCGCCGGCGCCATTTCCTGCAGCCTTCGGCCTGTCGGATTGACCTCCCAATTGTCATCCACATGCAGTATCCTTGCATATCCACAATGGCCATTACCTTGTACCGCACCCACAATGCCTACAATCAATACTCAGCCACCACCATGGCACCATCATCCACCAACCGCACCTATGCCTACTGTCCTGCCTCATCAACAACCACAAGCGATCTTACCTCAGTTTCAGGCCACTTCACCACAACCACCAGCTCCTATGTGGCCACATCACCTGCCGCCGCACCCCCCACCGTCACCAACCTTCGTGACCCATGCACCCGCCTACCCAGTACCACCTCAGTTGCAATCACTTGAACCAATACCAGTGCAACCTCCACACCATCCACCATCTTTGCAATCTCCACCGCTTCCATCACCGGTGTCACTGCCACCCCAAGCTCCGCCAGCACCACAACCAACAGCACAACCAACGTCCATTCACTGGGACCATTCCCAAGGCATTTGGCAGCCTTACTCCCTCTTTCCCCAGTGGCTCACCCTTCACCACACTCCCACCCGGCGTCCACTTCAGCCATTACCGTTCCCCCTGATCCAACACCTTCTACCGTGACGACCTCCTCACCGGCTCCCACTGATCCAAGCGCTCCACAGTCCGTAGGTACTCATCCGAGTACCCCTCAACCAACAACCCATGCACTTCACTTCCTCTCACATCACCATCCACAGCCGTTGCGACACCACCAGAACCAGTCCACCCGCTACCACCACCACCTCCCCCACCAGGAGCACCATCAGCACCAACTCCGCGATCTCACAAACGATCACACGCGCAACTTCAAGAAGCTGCATCGGCCCATTCGGGCACTGCCCCCTCACCGCCAGCTTCTCTTGCAACCACCCGCCGTACACACCGCAGCAGAGGGCGCAGCCGCCGTCGCCACCGCCAACGCAGTCGCCGCACACGAGATCGGCGCACCCGACATCGCCACTCCACTCCAGCCTCGACCAATCCAGCCTCGTCAGCGCGCCACCGGCGCCGCCGTTCCCCTTCCCCTTCCTCTACATCCTCCAACAGCCGCTCCCGCAGCCGCTCCCATGCACCCATCACCTTACGTCCCAACCAACAGTCAACACCTCACCATCAAATTACCAACATGTCTCAGGCGGACTTTCCCAACATACCAGCCCTGCGACGCCCCAAGCCACCTTGGAAGGCACCTCCACCGCACGTCCATCAACTTCTCACCAAGAGCAGATCCAATGGTGGCTCGATTTTCATGCTACACAGCTGGCAGCCGAGAACAAACCACAACACGCATATGTTGCCAAACTGCTCGCTGACAGCGGCTTTACCCATGAAGATCTGGCAGGTTTCCGACAACTTACACATGTTAAGTGGAATGACACTACCAATGCCTACGACGCCTTCTCATACCACTGTATCAACATTCCCAGTCTGGCCGACAAAGCCACTCGCCAGATACCACCGCCTACCACACGTGCCACCTCCACCACCCCAGAAACAGTCCACATCAACGCGGGCCATACTGGCCCCCACGGCAACATCACCGCCATTCTACAACAGGGCCGCCTACTGCCCAGCATCCTCCACTTTGATGCCAATCCGGGCTTTTTTGCCCAAGCCACACGCATCACTCACCAGACACTCCACGACAACTACGAACAAGCCCGCATACTACACAACACATGGAAACTCGCAAAGAACACCCACTCGATCATGCTCCATCTCCTGGCCTGGGGCCGGGGAACAAAATTCACAAGTGGCGGTGAAGCCCAAGCTATGCACCTCTTACAACAAGAGCATGGCGCAGTCTGCCACGCCAAGGCACGATGCTGGGTGATTCACCCCAATAACGCCATCCTCAAAGGCCTGGCGTGGTCCATTAAACATTTGAGGCACCTCCACCACTCACACCCAGCCAACATACTTCCCTTACCACCACCACACACTCACCACAATTGAGAGCGGCTTTTCGACGAGTTTCACATTACACCACCGACTCAAGCTCCGTCAAAATCAGCCCCACTTTGTGCCGGTCCACTGCGATCACATGTCTTGCTTTACTCTGCAGGTTTTATCACCTTCACGAGCCATTTGACTGGACAATCAACTTCAGTGCTCAGTTCCTCTCCCATTTTGATTGAAGATTCATGGCACTGATTGTGTTTGTTGCACTCTTGTTTTCATGCTGACAACTTGAATTAATCTCTTCGTGACGTAGTTTTATTGCGTGATGAACGTTTGCGAGTTTCCTTTGCATGACTTCATGCCACGTTGATCCGAACCCATTTTCAGATTTGTGTCATCGTATGTTCTGCAAATTCGTGCTCAATAATTCATGCTGATAATTCAATTGCATGGTCCGCCCGTATGCACCGGTCTCTCATGCAGTGATGACCTGCGCCGCGCCACCCGCTTGCTGCTTCAGCTGCTTGATCACCGAAGCTCTCCTTCAAGATGCATTCCAGCGCAGACCAAGCTCGACTGCTCCATCGCACCACTATTGCACTTACCCAGCTCCATCGCCTTCTCCAGCAAGCAACTGACATTCTGGCTAATCTTCACAACTTTTACCTTATTCACACACGACAAGTCGCCCACTTTCAACGCACTTTTCCATCTCTCCCTCCAGCTCCCTCCACGGCCGTCCCCATTCCTTCACCTACATCCTCCTGTGACTCGGCCCCTATTGCTCCCATCCGGCATGCACCACCACAACCTACCGCATCACAAGCGTCTTCAACCTCCACTCCTTCACCACCACCACCACCACCACCACCCAAGAAGAAACGTGAGCCCCCACCACCTCTTAAAGAGGATGCTGATTGGGATGCTTGGGACGGCGACGCTGAAGTTCGCCTCGTTGAACTCAAGACCGACGCCCGCCTCCGACCCAATTGGAACTACGTTGCTCGTCGAGTGGGCTTCTCAATTGAACAGTGCAAGGCCCGCTGGGAAGAACTTCAAGAAGCACAACGCGAACAAGAAGCTGCCATTCCCCCACCCTCACCACGTTCACCTGCACCCACCTCACCTGCCAATACGCCACCACCACTCTCCCCTACCCGCTCACCTCCCTCTGTAGCAGCAACACCACCACCGGTACTACCCTCAGTCCCAGATTTCTCTTACACTCCCACAACACCTCCATCTCCTCCACCGGCAGCCGCAGCTATCGGCGATGCTCTGCCAACAGCCATCAGTGAGGACAGTCATCCGGAACCAGATGCAGCTGATATTGGCACCCAGCTCCGTTCGGCGTGCTCCTAGCAAACATGAACCTTGCACTGCAGCACCAGCGGTTGCGCATTTTTTGCAGTCATGTTAGGCTATCCAAGCAGTTGAGTGCCGGACCTTATTATGACACACTGGTTCAGACCGGCCATTCATGCCACCGTAGCCATTTTCAATATCCAACTTGCTTTGATTTCATTGTACAGATCAACTCTTTCGATTCAGCATGGCTCCAGCTGCCTGCCCGCCGCGCAATGCCTTGCCGCCGCCTTCCACAGAGCAGACTTCAGCCACCGAGACACACTTTCTCCGATCCTCCTGCACATTTGACACCCATCAACCAGAGCTCCTCCTCATGCATAGCCTTCTCGACAGCCTTGCCCACGGGGTAACTCAGATTCTCAATCACCCCATGATCGACAGTCCTATACCAGACCACACCCTCTTTGCAGAAGCCGATGCCTTCCGGCTTTACTTCCAGTACCATCAGAGTGTGACCGAATTGGCCAGAATCACCATGCGCTTGAAACGCGCCAGCCGTTTGCTTCAATTTCTACCAGGCCCTCCGGGCCACCCAGGCAGATACCGTGTCAACCCTCTGGCACAGTTCCCGCCCGACACCACCGACTTCTTGGCGGATGAAGTACGCACCTACTGTCCCCCTCCATTTGGTCGCCACCG